TCCGGTGTTACGGGACGGCATATTCTATGACGAGAAGAGCTCATTTTCTCCTGTTTTTATGTACGTGATGAAGCCTTTGAATTTTGAAATTGGTAGTGGTGTGTGAGGGGCGGGCGATGGGGAGGGAGAGGGGGAAGGAAAATACAACCCACCCATGGTTGGGAAGAATTTTCTTCTCTAGATTCCCGGAAATAGCAAATTCATACTTTAAAGAAAGTATGCCGCAAGTAATCAGAGCCGGTTTTACCCGTATACCTTGGCAATTTGGCTAACTCTAACCACAAATTTTATATTGTTATTATTTGTATTCATCTTTGTATGTTCAAAAGTAATAAAAGTGAGAGAAATAGTGGTCCGGCCATAACCGGTGCGGTTCCGACGGCTCTGTTTATGCTTTGATTGATTGATTGATTTTATTCGATGAAAATGATTTGTCAACAAACAAGTACAAATTAATGAGCATCAGGGAAATGGGTTGGACATACATACATATACCGTGAAATGTCATTGCGTTTGTTCACTCCTGTAAATACACATTTTTTTGGCTCCCCTGTCCAGAGTGTACTTAAAGGATAGACATTAACTTCGACAACACTTTTCATCACTGTACAAAAAATCTGTTCCATTATCAGGAGCGGATTTAGGGGTGGGGGGCGGCCCGGCTACCCCCCTTTTAAGAGGTAAAAAAAAGAAAAAACAAAGAAAAAAAGAAAGAAAAAGAAAAAAATGATAGCCCACAACGCCTCAAATGTTTTTTTCGGGCGTCTAGAACACAAATATTTCGCGGGGGCATGTCCCCGGTCCCCCTGAGGCATTTTTTTTCTCGATCAGCCCAAGTTTCGGCTCCCTTTCGGCCCTCCCTTTTGGACATCTCTGGATTCGCCCCTGATTATGTGTCCAATCCGATAGATGCAGTAATCTAAGGAGACAGATTCGAAAGATCCATAATTCTACAGATCTGTCAAATATGTTGCCAGTTCCGTACCAGTAGTGTAGGTCTCTCATAGACTATTGTTAACAGCATCACCCACCGTTATTCCCCCTGCGAATGCCTTGATGCAACTACCTCCAGGGAAGGCGTACCAAGTAGATGGAAAACTGCTGTCACAGGCCACAATTAGAAGTGGTGCATTGCAGCAGACTTTACCTTTGAAAGAAAAACTCATTGTGTCTCACCTATTTCAAAGCACAGATTCCATATATCAATATTAAGATAAACGTTGTCTATGAAAGAATGATACTGACATTTTTAGCGATGGTGCAGTCGGTATTCCACCAGTGTACGAACTAAATCATCAAAATTAATATACATTATAATATTGACTTATTACCACCATTGTTGCTACTGTGCTAGGTATATAAACGCTTGATTTATGTCGCCGTACAGTAGGATGAACATATTGCTACTGAATGGCATGTTCGTTTTATCACCGCTGCCGTATTCATTCGTGCTTATTGATATCAACACACACACAAACACAATTATCACAAAATGCATTCAAGGACATTCAAGGGTTAACGCATTTTATTTTCCCTATCGTCAGTTGCGTCAAAGCGGTGGTCCGAGGTCCTGGCAAAGGTTTCTTCGAGGCCACGGCACAGGACCCTGGTCTACAATAGCAAAAGGCATCCTAAACTACCTAGCGGGCTTTGGTAGGCAGATCGGACAGGCTAAGCTTAGTCTAATTAGCCATCAATTAAATAATAATTAAAAAAAACACCACTGAATTGGTTCTACCATGTTTATTATAAAAAGGGACTAAATTCAAACAATTTGATTCAGCAAGACTCTCTTTTTTGGGTTCTTTGAAATAACATCCTTTATTATATTGTCTGTCTTCGATTTTTGTCAGTATTTATACACATAATAATAGGCATACTTACTGTATAGAATGAGATAAAATCACATGCCCTTTTTGAAGAGAAAACCTTGAATTTTGAAGAACTTGAGGTAATAAAGATCGGACACTCAGAAGTCAGAAGTCGGGAAAGCTCATCTCCGGCCATCTAGGAATCAAATTTTACCAGGGCCTCTTTCTTTTTCGATTTAAAAAATGTTGAACCCCTTTTATTTTAAAATCCTGCACCCACCCGTTGGCCCCTACTACCCTACGGGAAAAGCCCCGCCCGCTTCGGCGTAATTTACGTTTTAAGGAAGTATTATTTTGAAGGTGTTTTTTACGTCAAGTGCTCCTTAAAAAAAGCACCATTCTAGCTCTCAAAGTCAATGTGGTGAGAATCCTCACACATTGGCCAAACATTAACTAGACTGGACCACTGTATTTTTGCAGAAAAATATAGGTACGGTGCATGTTGATTCTGTCTTCGTGTATTATGTTTAACAATAAATACCTTGATATTTCCAGTATAATTTAGTAGTAACGGGTTTTTCGATTGCTATCAGGATTGCTCAAAATATTTACCACTTGAGCAGAGATCGCCTAGAGCTCCCCACCTCCGCAAACGAAAGAGAGAAGAAAAGATAGAAGAGGGAGAGAGAGAATGGAAAATTATACTGAAAACGTATAGCTCGTCTTCGCCTCTATGCGCCCCAGACCAATAAAAAAGAAATTTAAAAAAAAACAAAACATGAATAATGGTTGTAACAGAAAAGTGGTGATAAGAAAAGCAAACAAAAAGTGATAGAATATAAAAGCAGCACAAAAGTGAAAAGGAAAAAAAAAACATGAGAGTAGAGGAAAATTAGAGATTGTCAAATAAGAATGATTTAAGACGGCACTTAAGCTTTGTCTACACTGTCAAATTTCATCAAAAAAGCATCACATAAAATTTGATGGAACATAGAGTTGAACACGTTCAGCTTTTTTGGATACAATTTGATGATATGTTATATGACGTCATCCTACCCATATATGGGCACATCACATTTTTTTGTCACATGAAATTTGATAGTGTAGACAAAGCTTTAACGATCATTAAATTAAGAGATTCTTGAACGGATTGTGGAAGTTACGTAAATCCCAGAGCTTAGGACCAACAACTGAAAAGGAACTTCAAAATGGCAGGTAGGCACATGAAGAGTTATAGATGTAGTGCCCTTTTACATTTGGCATAAAGAAGTGTGATCAGTTCCGAGATGTAGTGAGGAGTGAAATGGTGCCAAGGACTTAAATATATAAATCAGCACTTTGAACCTAATTTGCTGGTTGATTGGAAGCCAGTGCACTGTTTCTTAAGTGTGGGAATAATAATGTTAAAGTTGGGAATACCAGACAAGTCGAATGTCTACACTCCTTTTTTTGTGTAAATCTTCGTATTTGTAGGCCTATTGCACAAAATTGTCTCTATGATCTCGAGTGTTGACCTCTAAAATCTTGAAAAGATATAATACTCAGCAGCCACGGTGCTGACTGTGTGAGGTCCTCGGTCCCATCTGGGTCTCCAGCTCTTAACCGGGGCAGATTGTTCACACTATCGACAGTGTGAAATGCTTTAGGCCTACACAGATCTGTTAGAATTTGTTGAATTTAGTAGTGATCAACAAGTAAATGCCTGTGACACATCTATTAGAACCATACCAGGACTATAACTAAAACTGTGATTGCTAGATGGCGGGAAATGAGCTTTCCCGACTACTGAGGTGCATTTTAATTACTTTTAAGTCATTCAAAGTTTAGGTTTTTCCCTCTTGAAAACGATTCAATGAATCGATGAACCCAATTCGGGAAATTAGGGAAAAATTTTGATTCCTAGCTGTCGGAAAATGAGCTTTCATGACTTCTGAAGTGTCTTTGAAAACTTTTAAGAAGTTCTTAAAAAATTACCTCTCTTAGAAAACCGGTCACAGGTAAATTTTTCTCATTTTTATTACAGTAAATAGGCCTATGTGTGTGTACCGTTATATAATACAGAAAAAAAAAATGAGTATTTGCATATACGTATTCTTTTTTCCGTGAATGGATGAACCCCAAAAAGAAATGGGGGTCGGGGGTCCTCCCCGGTAAAATTTTGATTCCTAGATGGCGGGAAATGAGCTTTCCTGACTTCTAATTTTCCCATTGTAACAACAAAATTTAAGCTCACGGGTCCTGAAAAATATACTGCCCTGCTCTGAAAAAAGGCATTAAGTAACAAAATCATAGTTTTGAGTAAATGAGCAAAACGCGTTTGAGTTTTTCCCAAGAAAAGTACAAATGATTTCAAATTTGTTAAACTATGGTTTGCTTATATATATTATTAAAAAATTTGCCACACACTTTTCATTGAATAATTGTATTATTAAGGGGACCAAAATGGAGATAATGCCTTTTTTCAGAGTATTTATAACTATGAATGTAGATAAATACTTTTGAAATCGGGCATTATCTGCAAAAGTGTATATAATCATGCATTAATTATTAATTTATTCAAATGTATGTATATGAAATTTAATCTATAGATTTATAACATATATTTTATAAAAATCTTGCTCCAAAAACAAGTGAAAAACTAATATTTAAAATATTAAAATATTTGAAACCGCAAAATCGTCTACTGTATTTAATTTTTAAAAATCGAAGTATATATATGAAATCCAAAGGTTAGTGTAAAAATTGAAGGCTAGTATACTCTGACTTTATAAGATGAGGAATTTAATTGTGTACACGAGGAAAATGCGCAGAGGGGAGGGGGAA